TACAAAAGGTGCCCCCATCCGGCACCTTCCCCATACCCATGCATGTGTGTGTGTGTGTGTGTGTGTGTGTGTGTGTGTGTGTGTACATGTGTTTGTTTTTGTTTCCGCTACCAGCCCCCCATTTCGCTTAATGCCCTTCCTTCATCACATAGCCATCTTCCTTACTCTCGCCGGTTCCACTTAGAGTTTATTAGCTGGCTGCGTTTTTGCCTGCTTATTAAAAATCGCAAATGGTGAATGCGGCTGCTTCCCATTGGCCTGACCAGACCAGAGCTGCTGATTATGAGCTTAGGCACACGGAGTCTGTGCATCCCAGTAAATTCTCAGCAACTCTCCCCCTCCACCCACACCGCTCTTACAATTCAAAGCTCGCTTTCTTTGCTGGCTGCTTAGATGGCTTACCTTTTTGGGTGGCCGACAAAACAAATGACAACCCAAATTATTTTGACACCATTACCGAAAATGTTCACCACACACACGCACACGCACACATACACACATACATGCATACGTGTATATGAATGTGTGTACACATGAAGCAGCACACGCTCAAGTGGCAGCTAGACGTGAGGCTTGGCTGGAGGCGGCAGCTGAGGCGTGGCAGACATGGCAACATATTGTGCCATGTTCTATGGAACAAAAACACTTGCACACACACACACACACACACACAAACACACAGACAAACATACACACAAGCATAGGGGCAAACATAGTCTCTGCCAAAACGAGACTCGCTCATGGAAATTGTTGGGGACGTTAGCATTGCTTCTGTTTCACTGTCTGTCCGCCTTCGTCCTCTGCCTGTCTGTGCGAACCGCCTTTATCCCCAACCTCCCCCTCCACCTTCCTGCCTCCCTCAGGCCGGCCGACTGGCCGTCTGGTCGTGCTGTACGTGCGTGGCGCGCGTTGCTGCAAATTGCCAGTTAAAATTTCTGACATGTCAGCAAACGGCGACGCCAGCACCAATTCACCATGGGAATGCTTCTGTGGCGTCAACGGAGAATTGTCAGTTGGTTAGTCTGTGCTCCAAGTCACATATTATCATTCAAATATTATTGGTAGGTTCTCTATTGAAGTCGTATCGATTAAAGTTCTCGCGATCGACATTATGGATAAAGTGTTTGTTATTCTGCCTATATAACTGTAAATGTCAGTTCGTCTTTGAAATTATCGATTATTTAACAACTATCGATAACTGAGATAGTTGTAAATTAAAGCTTTACACACACTACTCAATAATTTGCATATTATGCATATTTACAATGGATGAACTTTATTCTCATTATAATCGATAGACAACTGAATATAACGATAGCAATTAATCGATAATTTATTATATCGCACAGAACAGGTTTTCTGTCTCTGTTTATTTAGTGCATTATACTCAACCATTGTGCCTATTATGCAATTCTATCTGTGCGAGTGAGTGAGTGTGTATAGAAGGTTGTCTGGCTAAGTGGTATCTGCTGGGGGGTGCAACGATGTTGGCGAGACGGCAGCATACTCGAACGGAAATCAACAATGTTGGAAAGCATTGCAATTCGAAAAATGACGACATGCAGTTCAATACCAGGACGAGTACACTCAGAAGAAATGTGTTCAATCAGTAGAAACATGAGCTTGGAAACTAGCCACACTTAAAAGAACGGTTTGCCTGCTTAGATATTTTATGAATATTTTTAAAATATGTTTTACAACAACAAAATTTGGTTTAAAAAAAAATAAAAAAAAACAAGTATAAAAATGTACTAAAATGTGAAAGAAAGGTTTGTTTCTAAATCAGAATCGGGTTTCTATTTTAAAAGTTCATTATTCATATATTACATACAAGTATTTGTCAATTGTGGAAGAAATTTCCGTTCTTAAATTCATCTTTTTAAGAGTGAGCAACTTATCATACTTGTGTAAGTGTAAAAAACCAGGATTTTTTCTCAATATTACGTGGTTTGTTCTTAAAATCCCAGATATATTATGCAAAAAGATTAAAAATATATTATAATCAAACTCTGTTTTTGCTTACAATGTTTACATGAAAGTTGTTCCCTAAATGCAAAGAAATGATTAGAAAAACATGTACTTAAAAATGTTAAGTGTTTCTGAAAAAAAGTTGTTTTGCTGCTAAGAAATTAATAATAATAATTACGAAAATATTTGTCAGGTAAATAATTACTTTAAGATAATTGTATTTTAAGGGTGATGTTCTAAATTCTGTTTAATATTTAAATCTGAGTGTAGAATCACATCGACGGCAACAGCAATGGTGGAGAGAGCAGATAGGTGCCCAACACATTCAATATATGTGCTGTGTTGACTGCATGGCCGACTAACTGACTGACTGACTGACTGACTGACTGGCTGTTAACAGTAGCGATGCTGTGCGAGCATTGACAAGATTCTAATTGAAAGGCAACTGATGGCGCTCGGCAACATTCTGTTTAATATGCATATGGATGGATCCGGAGCCTAAGCCGTGTCCGTGCCCGTGCCCGTGCCCGTACCCGGATAAAGGTGTCACCTGCACTCCGCCAGCAATATCAAATTCTGCCGTTATCTGGCTGACAAGGCAACGTTTAGTTTTGAGCAATTTAAAGTCGACGCCAGCCACCCCCAACCGCATCCAATTCTGTAACTAAGCTGCCATTACGTGTCACATGTCCAACGTATCCAAACTTGGACTCGAAATAAATTACTTAGCTGTTAACTTAAGCATAATTAAACACACACATACAGTGCAGTGCACACAGATACACACATATTATTGATGAATGTGAGCAGTGGCTCATTAACTCTTATGCCGTCGTCGATTATTGATATTTACTTATGGCTGTGCCGGTTTCGAGTCAGGCAATTGTCAACGCCTGCACACGGCCTTCAGGTAGCCATAGCCTTAGCTATGAATATAATTGAAATTGAAAACTAAATGCTCACCAAGCTATAAATATCTATTAAATCAAAAGCAACAACGAGCGAACAAAATACGCAAAGTGCGGGGCGCATTCAAGGGCATTCGACATGAGTCTGAAACGTGCCACACAACAAAACGAAAACGAAACTGAAATTGGTAATACACACACACATAAGCCGAGGGGTCTAAAACTGCATTCCAATGTTGATCATCGTTGCGAGGGTGAGGGTTAAATGGAAGGATGGCCATTACTTTTTGACCCTAGCTCTCGCCCTCTCTCTCCCCCGCTCAGTCGCAGCAACTGCTCAAGTATGCAAAGCACAAAGCGCGATAAACACACACAAAATAAAGAAGAATTGACTGAAAAATTAAGGCAAAAAAAAAACCAAATAGCGCGATCAAATGCCATTGAAATGTCAGTTGGCCACGCTAAAGTGTTTTGGCCATAACGCATTCGAATATCAAAATGTATGCGGTTCAAGTTGGGTCACCAGCTGGCAAATTGGAAATGGTTGTGGAATTGGTATTCGAATGGGCAACGAACACTTGACTTTGGCCGTGCGACAACTGACAAACTGAACAATTGTCAATCGAGTGTTGTGCATTGAAAACAGCTGCCAAAAATTAGTTGTGATTGCCAGCAAACATACACCATATACATGTATACATATGTACATATGTATGACACTTGACGGATAAAATACATTTTTTGCTTATTGTCTTCAAATTGCTGTTGTTGTTTTCCGCATTATCTCAAGTGGCAGTTGTAAGTGGCTGCTCTTGGCAGCGAGTAACAGAAACGGTAATTTTTCAGACACTTACTACGCCTGTCAAAGTTCATCTTCTAAACTTAACAAGATTTCGAACGTTTGCTCAACAATCAATTGTGTTAGTGAGTTTTGTTATTTCTATTATTACAAATATACAGAATTAATCTACAGAGTGTAATATAGAGAATAGTATGGTACAGAGAGTATATTATGGACCTTTGGCTATAAGTCTTAGTAATGAAGAAATAACAAAGTAACAATGACACTTATCACGAAGCCAGTGGAAAACTATTTTAAATTAACAAAACTGGTCAATTACATTAGATAAATGATAAGGTGGTTTATACTATTTCAGCAAGTACAATTTTAACATTCAGTTTTAATTGTCGATCATTTTATAAATATATAGCTGGCCTAAACGCAGTTTGGGCAATATGTTGCAAAGGTAACATGGGACAAGTGTGCCTCAGCGAGTATTGGCTCATCCCTCACTCAATGTGCAAATTAATATGTGTATGTATGTGATGAGATCACGTTCCCTTATGCTAATTGGGCGCACAAAATGTCAATCTCTCAATATAATCGTTGACATAACGCACAATCACAATGACAAATACATTATTAGACATCGAGAGCGTTCGGCACTGGTCTTCATATGGCACACCCCTTGTGCGTTGCTTTTTACCCTCCAACTACATAAATACCTTTGTATAAATGTATGTGCATGTGTATATAGTTGTGTGTATAGCAGCATATCGTTTTATCCATAACAATTTGCCCGTCGCTTTGTTTTCATTGTTGGCTGTCACTCGGCGATTTGGCGCACATTGATAAATGATGCGCTAGAGAACTCAACTCTCAACTCAATTCGGAACGGGCAACTCACAACTCGACGCTAATTTTGTGTGACAAATTGCAGAGAGAAACGACATGTCAATTTCTTATGGATTGTCCTGCGCTTCGCTTCAAGTGTCTGTCGCCTGTCTATTCAATTTGAGGAATGCCGCTGGGGAAGCAGCCTTGATTGGGGCACTTACGGCACGCACTTAATGCCAGCTTGACATGCAACTGAGGCGTTTACCGGATTTGCCGTCTATAGTTACATGAACATGCATATATATGTACAGCAAACACACACACATTCTGATTCTCTCTATTTCTCTCCCTCTCTCTATATATATATATATATATATATATTTGTGCCTTGGTCCTTGCTTATGCAAATCGCTGTAGCTATAAGTATAAATCTATATAAAATATATACATAAGTATATATATATTTTTCTTGCGCAAATGCTAATCTATTTTGTTTTCTGTTTCAGTATCCGTTCTCGCCATTTGCAGGGCCCAAAATTAATGGTAATTTCATGCTGTCATTGCGCAAAAATCAACACGGCCCCCGAAGCGCCAAGAGAACAAAACATAAAGGTAGGTAACGTAGCTGTGGTAATTAAAAGTCTATTAGGGGTAGGCTCCACAACTTACAGCAGTCGCGTAATTCCAGTTCCCATCACATTTTCATTGTTACCGAAAGCTACCAAAAGCTCATCGTCTTATATTATAGCCCAATAAAGGGTGAGGACAGTTTCTTTTTTGGCGGTTCGCGTCCTTCGCAAAATGTTTGCAAATAAAAATAAAATTGGCAGCGCGAGTGACTAGGCATGCTTGCACAGTTGGGACTGAGGGTTGGGAAAACGATACTTTGATAAGAGCAAATTGAAAAGTTGGCTCCGTCTTTTGTCACGCCAAACTCAATCAGATGTTGAGCTAATGTTGTGCCATTAAACAAGATTTAATTAATATCAACAGGATGCTGTCAGGCAAAAAGAGAGAGATATCCTCACAGTTTCTATACTTACTAGGCAAGTTTGAGTGACTCAGCTGGGGTATGTATTCAGTTTAGTAAATCCTACATTAAAAGCATATTAACTTCAACGATTAACGATATCGCCAAAAAAAAAGAAAGAAAGAAATTGAGAAAGCTTGTTAGTCCTATACAAATTTGAAACTCATGTGCCAATAGCTACTCTAAAATGTAAAAAGATTTCGCTTGAAAATATTGACAATCAAATGAAAATAAGTAATTTATAGATGGAGTAAAAGCATCGAGGGTTTAGAGTTCTCATCTACGCTTTGTAACTCTAAACAACTAGACAAGCACTAACTTAAGCGCCCTTCTAAGTTAATCTTGTCAATTCTATGGCTCTTCATCCATGAATTAGAGTGCGAGAGAGAGTCCGCTACTGCGATGAGATCAACTGCCAAATTAAAACTGAAGAAACATGGTAAACCGCTTGAAAGACTTGACAATGGTTTATTTTGAGTTACGACCTTGATTTATTGTGCTGTTTACCATCTCAATTAACCGAATGGGCCAAAGTGATTAGATCATCACTCAATAATATAAATACACGCAGCTTATGTATGTACATCTTTCGTATATCGTTTAAGAACTCCACATTATAAGTTATGTATCATTGTGCTGTGCGGCACATACATATGTATATAGATAGATTATGTATATAGATGTGTATTAAATGGCTTTCTCCACGCAAGCAAGCCAAGTGTTGCAACTGGGTTAGTCGAACATTCATTCATTATAACGCAGATAGAAACCATTTCATATGATATATGAGTTGGAGCGCCACAGCGAAGTTTAATTGAAATGCATTTTGGCATTTGGCTGCTGAGTCATTATACATACATACATACATAGATACATACATAGATACATAAATAGATACATCATATGATATGTATGTATGTAACATACGTTATTGGATGGCTCGTGCTGTTGCACACCTATTTCTTATCTGATTTGTCATGCCGACCTAAGCAGAGGTAACCCAAGTAGCAGTAGTAGATTTTGCCTAACGCTAATTAATTATCTTTATGCGCATAATTAAATGGTGTACACAGATTTATATTTGTTTTCGTCATGTTTGCACTGGCGACTCGCCCGTGCTGTATGGCGCTGCGCACGGCTGTGTTTTGTTTAGTTTTGTTTTGTTTTGTGTTTAGACCAAAGTTTCGCCAGCGATTTTTCATACATCTTGGCCATAATGGCCAGCAATTACGTTTGCCATCCGGCTGGCTGGCCAGCTAGCTGGCTGAGTCTGAGACTGGCAAAGTCCATCTCTGATGATCATTATCATTAAAAACATAATAATAATAATAAACATAATCGTAATCATAATCGTAGTTGGCTAGATGTAGTCGTCGCTCATCTGCCGGAAGTTGGGCATACGAAAAATGTTGTAGGTAATTGATGCCCTGGCCTGTTCGGGTCAGGTCGGGTCGGGTCTGGTCGGGTCTGGTCGGGTTTGTCGGACTGTATGGCTTTTCTCTGTTTTTGTTTTTGTTTGTTTATTTGATTTTCATGGTTAGGTGAGTTGCTTTTTGTGCAAAGTTTTAAATTTCACATCGAGTTGCTCAATTTATTTATGCGTTTGCTTTCCGCAAACCTGCCATCTTGAACAGTGATTGATTGTAAGGATTTGCAAGCGGAAATGTAGAAAATTCTTTATTTTATATAAATTATGAGATCATCCAAAAAGCCAAAGCATTTTCATTATCAGCAGCATCAAAGCTTATATTATATTTGTAATTAACATTGTCATTAAATGTTTATGAGCAAAACGGTGTTTAACATTGACTCAACAATACAAACTATCCATTAACAGTATCAAAATAGAATCCACATTAATTATGCAGTTCTGCGTGGCTTGCTGGCTGGCAATGTCAGCATCGCTCTTCGAATGATTATTAACTTTTAATGCTTATATTGTTTTTTAAATGTGCGCAAACGAGTAAATGACAACGTTATGTGTGTGTGTGTGTGTGTGTGTTTGTGTGTGTGTGTGTGTGTGTGTGTGTGTGTATGTGTGTTTGTATGTGTCTGTTTATATGGACAATTCAATATTTTAATATATACATGTAGGTTTTTTTTTAATACCTATAAGTTTGTTTTTATCATTATATCGCTGATGGACATTATATTTTTTCAATCATACGCCTTGTTAATTGCGTTAAGCCCCAGTCAATTATCAAATATACAAACCACAGTGATTATGATCATGATGTTGATGATGATGACGATGACGATGACGATGATGATTATGATTATGTTAAATAAATGATAATGAAGATGGAACAGAAGCCGGGGCTGTGCAGTTGATAGAGGAGAGTTCGTTGCCAGAGCCAGCTGACGGCTTGCTCACATTTTTAATTATAATTCCATGACGTTAACGACTTGTCTGTTGTTATTTTAAATAGTTTTGCCATTGCTATTGCCATTGTTTCTCGTTGTTGTCGTTTTGTCGTCGTTGTCGGCGTTGTTGTCGACAGATGACATGACGGGTTTTACAGTAGCTGACATCATGAATTGGCCAAAGCAACATATGCTTATAAACATGTGTACCTATGTATGGACTGTTAACCAGCTCCGGACGGGTGCACAAAGCCAAGGAGACTGTAAAATCATACAAATTGAACGCAAGCAGAAAAGTTGACCATGGCAGAAAAATGACAAGAAAATGAAGAAGAAATCAAAAGAAAATCTGCTCGAATTAAAATTCTTAACAACTAGAAGAAAACTAATACAATGACACAGTGCTCACAGCACTTATAGAATGAAACTAAACTCGCAGACTGTCGACGTTTAATTTCGAACTGATTTTTGCTCTGGCGAGCAGGTCAAAACAAGATCTAATGCTGTGTGTATATGTTAAGCGATGATTACTATTATCTAATCTTAAGCTGCTACTCATATGGTATCTACTTTTAAGGGTTTGTGTAATTGTTAATTTATTAAAAATCAAATGTAATCTTAACCTCTATCATTAACTAAGTAGTATATAGTAAGGTGAAGGCAACTAAGGGAATTTACTAAGATCTAAACCGTATGATAAATACAAGCTGAAAAGATCTACTGAGAATTGCCTAAACTTAACAAAAAAAAATGTATTCTGTTTAGCAAAAACCTAGGCTGTATAAAGAAACAGCAACCGTAAAAGTGACAAATGGAAAAAGATCAGGGAGAATGAGTGAGAGAGAATAGAAGCGATTGAAATAACTGAATAACCGATCATGGCAACAACCTTTGCTTAAACAGCAAACGCCAAACAAATCTGAGCCGCAAATCGGTTTTTTTTTTTGTGTTTTGTGTTTTTTTTTTTAACTTTTAATTTTGCTTGTTTGAAGTTTTTTGAACTCCAGCCAAGCGGAAGTCGGAGCACTTATGACTCATTTGATGGATAGATGCAGATAGAGGTGAAGCTGCTTCTCAACGACAAGAGACGTCACAGCCTACAAAAAGCGACATGCGATGCTTTTCCTTACCAATTTTCGGTGTATGTTTTTGGTAAGACGGATACATTCCAGTTACAATCATGAGATATTTTTGGGGGGGTTTGACCCTTCCGAAAGTAATAAAACCAAAGAGATATGGCGAAGCAGCGATTGTCTTTAGATGTCGTATTGTAGGTGTGGATATATGTATGTGTGTGTTTATATATACATATATATATATATATATATATATATATATGTGTGTGTGTGTGTGAGTAAGTATGTGTGAGGGGGCGTAATTCTCAGCCACTTCAACACTTCATTTAATAAATGTTGTAAACACGCACGAATTGAATTATTTATGCTTAGTTGTCATAAATTCATTTTGAGAAGGGGGCATCGGGTGGCACACCCACGCACATGCTGAGGTGCTACATCGAAGAGGGGTGGGGAGGGGAGGGGTTGCTTCCCCTGCTCCAACGTGTCAAACAGATGTGTGGCAATTAAGTGAATGTTGTTGCTGTAGCCGTTGCCGTTGCCGTTGCCGTAGCTGTTGCCATTGCCGATGACTGACAATCCCATTCAGATGACATAGAGAGGCGCCTATTTTTACTCACATGATTTACGATAGCTCAAAAAAAGAGCGGGGGATTTATGAGAGGGGGGGGGGGGTCGTTGGAGAGTCGAGGACAGCGGTAATGGGGGTAAAATGAGGAGGGGAAAGGAGTGGTGAGCTGATTGAGGTGTGATTATCAAAAAGCTATCAAAAATATATGCATAAAATTGAAATTTGTAATTAGCAATGCGTTGGAGCTTAGCTGTAAATGTTGCAGTTGCAATTGCAATTGCAGCTGCCACTCCACCGAAATGTTGGCAATTAAATTATGCGATGCTCCCTTTTTCACTGACCCATTTCCCAGGGCGAAAAATGCAAAAAGTAAAAGAGAGCCAGAGGGATATGGAGAGAATGAGGAGCAGATAGCGAATAAAGGCGCACATTACTGAGGCACTGGGCTAAAAGGATGCCTCAAGAACTCAAACAAAAAGTCGCAACACCCGTACCCCTCCATTCGCCCTTCCCTGCCACAAACTTTCAACGTTGTCTGCATTTGTCTGCCGCCGACAGAAATGAAAATGAA